AAAAAAAAAAAAAAAAAAACTCCCTTAAAATTAACTTACGAGTTTTCAAACCTACAATGAAATGAACAAAATGAAGTATGGTTTATGGCTTGTTGAGAATTGATTCATCGGTAATCGATCAACGATTAAGGTAGACGCAAATGTGCATAAAAATACTTCGGTTTAAATTTCTCAATAATCGAGATATTCGATCGAAGGTAGGTGAACATATACTTGGAAAAAACTTCGATCGGAATTTTTTTAATAGTAAGGATAGGTGAACATATACTTGGAAAAAACTTCGATCGGAGTTTTTATAATAGTAAGGATATTCAATTTTTAACTGATAAATGTCATTTAAAAGATTATCACAAAGAGGTAGATACCACTCAACGATTTAAAGCAAATTATGCACTTATATATATTGAGGAATAAACCTAGGTGAAGCTAACAGCAAAGCAACAGAGTGTGGTAGTTATAAAATGCAAAAAGTTTTCTTATGGTTGAATGCTAACCAGCATTAGCATTCTGGCAATCATCAAAACTAACAAATTTGTTTTCCTGAACAGAAAGTCCAGATTGTGACAAAAACAACACTTCAAAGGAGAAATCATCATTTGACAATTAGTGGCTAAAAAATTCTTCACGCTTGTGGAGCATATTCTCTCCAGTGACGAGTTCATAAGCGTAATGCTCCTAAATCTTCACGTTTTTGGAGTAAATCCAGGTGTAGCAGTTATTGAGTAGCATTTATTCCACTCACCCGCAACCTAATTTGTGTTCTGTGCTCGCTTCTTGGCTTTTATTTCCTTCTGACCAGTTGCCCCTAGGGTTTCCTTTTTTCTTCTCTCCCTTGATTTGTGTTGCAGATTTCTGAATCCTTCAATTGAGTGCTGGTGTTCAGAGTTCATGGAGGAAGATATTGTGAATAAGCTCGGTTCATTCCAACTTTCTGATAATGAGGCGAACATAATTGCGATAGAAACAAGAGACACGAGAATCAGTGCGGTTGAATGTGGGCGAAGTCTCATGGGTAAGATTATTGGGCATAAAAAAGCAGGGATTACTGGGCTAAGAAGAGCAGTTAACCAGATGTGGCTCATTCGAGCCCCGGTGGTGGTTAGAGAGATCTGCTCCAATTTCTTCCAGTTTATCTTTGCGAATGATGAGGACAAAGCTAAAGTTCGTGGTGGTAAATGCTGGACCTTTGAAGGACAATACCTTATTCTTCAAGAATGGAGGGAAGACATCTCACCTGATCACCCGGATTTCGATAGTCTAGATATCTGGGTTCAAGCATGGAACGTGCCACTGCATTGGATGTCCGCTGAGGTGGGGCTAAAAATCGGTAAAGCTTTTAAGCAAACAAAGGATGTTGTGGTGCCGCAAGGGGGGTTACTAGCAGGGAAATGTATCAGGCTGCTGGTGGCCATAGATATTCACCAGCCATTATCTAGATGTGTAACAATTCAGCTGGGCAGCAAGAAGACCTTAGTCCAGTTCAAATATGAGAAGCTTACAAGCTTGTGCTTCTATTGTGGGGTGTTGGGGCATCTAGACAAGAGCTGTCTTAAGAGAGAAGAAGATATCAAGCAGCAGAATCTCCAAGAAGGTAGATATGGTGAATGGTTAAAGGCATCTGAGGCCTTCTTCTCCCCTTCATTCAGCCAACATGCCAACTCAGAGGAGCAATTTACCAGCAGCAATGCTGGCTTCAGAAACCCCTCAACCACTCAAAGAGAGAACAATAATTCTAACTCCATGCAGTCCAACTCCAGATTTATACCTAGAGACCCAGCCAGCATTCCTGATACAGCCATCATTAATCACTCAAATCCAACCCCTCAGAATTGCATACCTGATACAGCCATCATTTCTCGCTCAACTCCAACCACTCAGAAATTAGCCCCTGTCATCCCTTTAACCTTGTCTCTCCCTTTACCCGCTCTGAAAACTACCATCCCTCATAACCTTCAAAACACGCCCCTGAGCTCCAAGATGGATACAGAAGCCTATAACTCTCATTTTCCTTCTGAACCAAATATCACCAACCCAGAGATAACTATTGTGCCATCTCAACCTGAAGTGAGTGCCCCAGTGTCTGACACCCTTGTGCTTATGAAAACCAGGGGATGGAAGAGGAAGCCTAATCCCAACCCTATTACCACTCTTTCTCTTAACCCTGATAATCCTAAATCTCTCAGAGGAAAAAGAGCAATCCTTGCTCTCACCCAATCAGGTAGTGCTGAGGCAACCAAAGCTACCAGCAAGAACAAGAAGTTGAAAACTGTCCAAGCTGAGGTGAATGTGGCTAGCCTTCAAGGGCCACAATGTGACCAATGAAGGTAGGGGTGTGGAACTGTAGAGGTGCGGGTGGCCCCTCTACGGTTTCCCAAATCAAGGAGACTTGGAGGCTCCATCACCCCAATTTTCTTTTTCTTTCTGAAACAAAAAAAAAAACAAATTTATTAATACTATTTGTAAGAACCTGGCTGTGGGGGATTGTTGGACTTCTGTAGAACCATCAGGTAGAAGTGGAGGGTTGTTTTTGTGCTGGGATAGTGAAACAGTTGTCTTCAAGATCATCAAACATTCTTTCTGCCTGGAGGTTGAATTTTGGGATGAAAAGCATTCTAAAACGGGCTGGGGGATATTTATATATGCGAGTACTGATACTCATGTCAGAATAGAGCAATGGGAGTACCTGGAAGAAGCTAAACATCGTTGGGGAGACCATTGGTTTCTGGGGGGGATATGAATGATATTATCTGCACTGAGGAGAAGCAAGGGGGGAGAATGAGATCTCAAGCTTCATTTTCCCCATTCAGGGAATTTATTAGCAGGCTGGGAATGCTGGAAATCAATATGGTGGGGCATCCATTCACATGGGGTAATCAGAGGGAAGCAGAGGGATTTGTGGAGGAGAAGCTGGACAGGCTTTTTGGATCCTTGAATTGGATGGCTTCTTACCCCAATGCTACGGTGCATAATATCTTCAGGAGTGCATCTGACCACAGCTTGCTATTGCTAGATTGCGCCCATGAGCACACATACAGGAAAAGAAGATTTATATTTGATAGAAGGTGGCTTCAAAACCCAAGTCTAAAACAAGCAGTGAAGAAAGGATGGTTGAAAACTCAAGAGGGTACTCCCATGTACCAATTTCAGCAGAAAATCAGGGAAACTAGGGTGGAAATCTTGAAATGGAGCAGCAACTTTCAAACAGAAAATGCTAGGAAAATTGCTAAGCTGAATCATGAGATGGCTGATATGAGGAAAGATGGAGCTTTAATTGACTGGAGGCTATGGGATATAAAGAAAAGAGAGCTTGATGATGCTTACAGACATGAGGAGCAATTTTGGGAGCAAAAGGCCAGAATTAGTTGGTTGAAGAATGGTGATAAAAACTCCAAGTACTTCCATGCTAAAACCTTACAAAGAAGGAAAAGAAATAATATATCCAAGCTGACTAGAGATGATGGGAGTGTGTGTGACAGCAAGGAGCAGGTGGAGAGTTGCATTGAGCAATTCTATAAGAAGTTGTTCAGCACTGAAGGCTCTGAGGGGGGAGAAAGGCTGCTGCAAGATCTTAATCCAGTTATACCTGAGAAGATGAACTCTGAACTTACAGCACCTATTGAAGATGATGAAATCAAGGCAGCCCTATTCAACATCAACCCTAGAAAAGCTCCTGGCATTGATGGTATGACATCTTTGTTTTTCCAAAATTTCTGGTATCTGATTGGTGTTGAGCTTTGTGATGTTGTTAAAAGTTTTTTCTGTTCTGGCAAAATTCTCAAAAGCATTAATCACTCCTTGATTACTCTGATCCCTAAGGTTCAAAATCCTGAATTTGTCTCTCATTATAGGCCAATAAGCCTCTGTAATGTCACTTACAAAGTTATTTCTAAGATTCTTGCCAATAGACTCAAACCTTGCTTGCCTATTTGCATTTCTAACAACCAGGCTGCTTTTGTGCCTAATAGACAAATCATTGACAATGTGATTCTTGGTCATGAAGTTATCCATTTTTTGAAAAGGCACAGAACAGGCCCCATTGCTTTCATGGCTCTAAAACTAGATATGGAAAAGGCTTTTGATAGAATAGAGTGGAAAAGTGTGAGTCTGATAATGCTTAAACTTGGATTTAATCCTATCTTTGTGAATTGGATCATCTCTTGTATTTCTTCTGCATCATTCTCTTTCAATATTAATGGATAGATGAAGGGTTATGTTACTCCTACTAGAGGCATAAGACAAGGGGACCCTCTATCCCCTTATGTTTTTATCCTTGTGTCTGAAATCTTCTCTTACCTGATCAAAGTGGAAACTCAAAAAGGAAACCTCTCTGGAATTCAACTTTCCAAAAATGGCCCCCATCTTTCTCATCTATTTTTTGCAGATGATACATTGCTTTTTGCCAAAGCTGATTCTTCCCAAGCCCACAGCATCTTGTCTGTCCTTGATTCATACCAATCTCTCACAGGACAAAAAGTTAATCTCTCCAAATCCTCTATATTCTTCAGCAGAAATACTTCTCCCACTGTTAAATCTTCCATCTGTAATATCCTTCTAGGGATTAAACCACAAACCACCTCCAGATACTTGGGGATGCCTCTGGGAATTGGGAGGAATAAAGTGGATACCTTTTCTTATATCACTGTGGTTACAGGGAAGAAAATTTTAAGCTGGAAAAATAGATTTCTTTCTACTGCTGGGAAAGAAATAATGATTAGAGCTGTGCTGAGTGCTCTACCTGTGTATTCAATGTCCTGTTTCCTAATGCCTAAAGCTTTATGTGCACACCTTGCAAAACTCTTTGCCTCTTTTTGGTGGAATACAGGAAATGTAGAAGGGAAAAAATTGCACTGGAAGGCATGGAACTTGATGACACTGCCTAAAGAAATGGGAGTTGTGGGTTTCCAGGATATCCAACTGATGAATAAAGCTCTGATTACAAAACAACTTTGGAGAATTCTCACACAGCCCAACTTACTAGTCAGCAGGTGCATGAAGGCTAGATATTTTCCCAAGGACAACTTCTTCTCTGTAAAGCAAAAGCAAAATGGATCATGGCTCTGGCATAGTTGGCTCAAAGTCAGGGACACCTTCACTATGGGGCTGAGATATGAGGTGAGGAATGGCAGTAAAATCAACATCTATGAGCACCCTTGGGTCCCTGAACTTCCTGGGTTCAAACTCAAAAGCAGGCCCCAGCCAAATTCCAACATCCTCAAGGTGAAGGACTTAATTGATGTTACTGGGAGGAACTGGAAGAAGAACATTATCCAAGAGCTCTTCAATGAGGAGGAGCAAGCAGCAATTCTCAAAATCACAAGTCTGCAGCCAGGGGAAGAGGACAGATTGGTTTGGCTCTGTGGGAAAAATGGAAAGCACTCAGCGGTTGCCTCATATGATTATCTGGTGAATGAGAAATGGAAACAGCTTGATATAGCTGAACCAAGTAAAGGGCAAGCTGAAGTCATGAAGATGAGGAAGAGGATGTGGAAACTGAATATCAAAGGGAAGATTAAGCACTTCCTTTGGAAGTGTGTGAATAACATTTTGCCAGTCAACACTTGCATTGCAAAGAGGGGAATTCATATTGATGCCAAATGCCAACTATGTGGAGAGGAGCCTGAAACAGTCTACCACATGTTCTTCACTTGTCCTAAGACCATATTGATCTGGAAGCTGGCACCCATTCAATGGGATGGCTTAGATCTCCATGCTGAAAGTTTTTCTCATTGGTGGACC